ATGTTACTGAACACCTACTAAGTGCCAGGCCCTGCTTTGAAAACAAAATAGAACTCCTTGCCCTTGAGAGCTTATCATCTAGCATGATGATATCTGATTTCTTGTCTAGCACTCCCCAATTTATAAAGGTTCCTATATCCACAACTCCATTTGACCTTCACATTAACACAAGATGGAGAAGGATAGGTACCATTATCTATCTTTACCAGTAAGAACAATGGCCCCAGGAAAATTAATGATTTGCCAAACTGCCCATGGCCAGTTGGTGGGAAAGCTGAGAGTTATACCCAAGAATTCTTCTTTCGTTTGATGTTTAAAAAATATTAGCTAAGTGGAATCTTTGAAATAATATAGCTAAAATTAGTGGGAACTCAAAGTACATTATTCACTGAGGATCACAGCCGCCTGGATGCTGAGTGAGAATGAATAAAACGAAGGCGCATTTGAAATACGTTCAGAACCCTCTTCCAGATGATTTATCAACCACTGAAAAAGGGAGTGGGTTTCCTCAGTGTGGTCACGATCAGAGTTCTTTCTCCTGGACCCCTTACACTGCATGGATCTCACAGTGATGCATGTGTCTGCAGAGATGCAAAAATCTCCCCTTAAACCGGAAGAACCCAGACTGCAACTTTATCACGGGCAACACGCCTTCTCTTCCAATGGGGTGCTCGAAAGAGCAGCTGTTGGCTGTGTTTACGAACTCGAGTGCTTATTCCTGCACCAAGACTGAGTCTGGGCCATGCACACGAACAGCGGAAGGAGAGATGCACAGACTGTAGGGAATTACAAGCCGCCTCCCGGTGCCCTGGGGAATGAGGCCAGGGCTTCTCTAACAGAAGCAGCTGCTGCTCTGTCCTCACAATGGCATACACTCAGGTCTGCAATTTTAAGATCGTTTGGGGGATGAGGGCTTGGCCAGCCCAACCTTGGTACATGTGTCATCTGAGGACATGAGTGGCACGGCCCTGAGAACAAGGTGCCCAGGTGTGGGGCTAAAACAGAGGAGCCTCTGAGACAGGTCCATATGCTCTGCTCAGTTAAGAGCACCTTCAGAAGGGCAGGCCTGTTTATTGCCGAGTATGTGGAGAGAAACATACATTGAGATTCAGGGATCAGGATGTACATGTGTTATAATGGAGGGATTAAAGGAGACATCCTAAGGGTGACTCCCCTTCCTATCTAGGTATAGCTATAACATCTGTGCAATGAGCTAGCAACCTGTTGCATATGTACTCCCCATTAGATTGAAAGGTCCATGCAGGGCCATGGTTCTCTTCCCCACTCATGGATGTCCTCATCCTAGTGTAAACCTGACACAGGGAAGGTGCTAAATAAATGTAAGGGGATCAGTAAATGAATGCAGGATTCGAGGCCTGGGGAGCAGTGAGAGTGGGTTGAGCCAGCCTGGATGGGAGACCCCGCCTCAGGCGCTAAGAGCTGGGCTCTATCCTCCACACCCACCCCAGCCCTCTGGCCAGCCTCCCTTTCCCAGGGCACCCTCACCTCGGCAGACCGGCCTGTGGTCGCTCCAGGCCGCAAACATGTCGCTCACTTTCATACAGGTGATCCGTTTGGATCCTTGCAGGTCATAGCCCTCGTTGCAGGTGAACTGGACGCTGGATCCTAACCTGGGAGACAAGGTGCGTTTGTGAGCTCGATCCTGGGCCCACCCAGGGGGCCTCCTGCATCCACAAAGTACCACCTCAACCTTACTTCTGTTCTGGCCCTTGGTCGTTACAATTTTATCACTTAAAATCCCCATTGTTTTGACCACTGAATGGTTTTAGGATTAAGTCAAAAGATGACTTTGTGAGCAAAACAATAATCCTCTAAGTATCAATTAGGACAGCTCAGAGTGGGTGGATGATACACAAAACTAATCAAAATCGAGAATTAGGGGAAGAAGCCTGACAGAAACTTTGTGAAATGCACCATCTTGGGGCCCTAGGGGCTCCCAGGTTATCAGAGGCACAAGCTGCTTGCTGGCATGGCATTCCTGGTGACAGTGGTCCTCTGTACCCTAGGGACTGGTTTGCAGGTGACACTATAGTCTACAGCTCTCCCCTTCCCCTTCAGGCAAGGGTGCTATTCCCAGAACTGGACTGGGAAAGACTGTCAAAGGCCACAGCACTTCTCCAGAAAGTGTCTATTCCCGTATCTGCACCATCCTCTGCCCTCCACCTCCTGGAAGACCAGCCAGCCCCTTCCTTCCCCCCTGCAGCCCATCCCACCCTCCTTGCAATCAGAAAGTTCCCAAACATATCTTACCTGAAATCCGAGCCTAGTCTTTTGCCCCTTTCAGGTATGCCAGGGTCTGGACACATATTATGCCCTTGGGACACACCAATCTGAGTTACTACAAGGCAAAAACAGCACATACAGAGATGGGTGACCACAGGAAGCACCGGCCGGTGGTGTCTCGGGGGAGGGACCCAGAGACAGAATGAGGCCCTGCTCCAGCGGGGCTGGGTGGGGCTGCTGGGGTCCACTGGGCTTGGGACTCCTCAGTGTGCAAGCTGGGGAGCGGCTTTTGACAAATTCCTTTGGGAAATCCATCTAGAGCATGTGGGTACCCCAAACCAACAACCACCAGGTCCCTCATCCCGCACCAGCGGCGGAGGTGGATGGTCCACAGCCCCGTGACCTCCCAACCTCGAGCTCTGGATCCGGGGGTGGTGACTCTAGATGAAATGAGCCCCCCCCCCAACCTCAGCCCCAAATGAAGAAATGACTCAAAGAAAGTTAAATAAAAGGTGGATGCGTGATCAGAAACGGTAAAGAATGTAAGAGAAAGCTTCAGTCTGAAGTTCAAAGTAGAGACTTTCGCTCAAACACAGATATTTCTGCTGAGAAACCTCTTCCCACAGACACTTCTCAGGCCTGACTGAGCAGTAACCAGAGCACCCCCATCCCCATGCCCCTCGCCTCTGGCCAAGGGCCCCGCGCAGAGATGACGCCTGTGGTGGTTTCTGGCAGGTGGTGCTAGGCTCTCACATGGGCCAACACCAGAGTCCTCTTTACAAAGACGATGTGCGCAGGCCTCTCAGCTGAAGCAGAGGCTTGATCAGGGGGCATCGGACACACAGTTTGTTTTCTTCCATTTTGGGGGAGGCTGAACACTCTCTGGCCCCTGTTGTTCTCGAGATGCTCATACTCATGAGGATGGAACCCACTCACACCCTAGACTCTTGGCTCTGGGGACCAGGAGTGGGGGCCAGGCTGACAGCCTGGCCAGAGGAGTTCCACTCAAGGCCTCCCCAGTCCCATGATCCCAACAGCACCGTTGACACCAGGGGTGATAGAAAGTCTGGAATAACATTCCCCAAGTTGGCCCATTTCTGTCCCACACTCTCAATGTCCCACAATATGAGCAAGGTGCTCCATCACTCACTCACTCACTCACTCACTCACTCATTCCTACACACAAATACACAAAAAGCATTAACTGAGCACCTACTGTATACACAGCCCTATTTTATATATCATGGGGCATGTCAATATCAGATGCCAGATATGCCCTGTCCTCAAGGAACTCCCATTTGAGTGAAGACATGAAACACGGAAACTAACTGAAACAGTATGGGGAATTGATGAAAGATGCAGCTACAGGAAGATTCAGAGGGAGGACCCATCTCATGGTGGTGAGAGAAGCAAGAAAGACTGCCTGGAGGAGGAGTTATTGAACATGGACCTTCTGAGATAGCAGAATTTGGATGCACAGTGACAGAGGAATGACAGCTCAGGCAGACAGACAGGCATGGAGAGTGAGGTGGAAACACAGAAACAGAACTGGGGTTTCCCAGTGTGAACAGAACAGGAGGAAAGGTGATGGGTGAGATGGATGAGCAAAAGGTGAGATGTCAGAGGTCAGACTTTTAAAGGGTTCGAGTCTGATCCTGAAAATGACAGGGAGCCACGGAAGAGTCCTGAGTGTGGAAAGTGCAGGGAAGATCTGGATTGCGCATGAGGTGCAGGATGAGTTAGGAAGTTGTGTGATTGTCTGGGTCAAAGACAAGAAGAGCCTGGAAGACATGGAGTAGTGAGAATGGACTTGGCAAAGAATCACCTGGGCTCAGGGAAGACTGGGTGGGGAAAAAATCCTGGCCAAGGGCCTGTGAGGAGCTGCACTTTAGACTCAGAGTCTGAAGCTCATTTCTATAGTTAGAAGCCTGGTGTAGACACTGTTCACATCTCCAGGCACCCCAGGGTATGGTTGGCAAGGTATCTGGGAGTTTGGACATCTGCTATCTTCTCGTTCCTGTGGCAGAGCTCAGCCTCTTGGGTAGCTTCCCTTTCTCCACCATTCCACATCACCAGGTTAAATCCACTCACTCCCACTGAACTCTTACCCCTGCTCCCCTCCCCTCCCTGGCCAAGCCTCTCCTCCAAAGCTTTCACTTGCTAAACTTAGCAATGTCCCTATGGCCACCAGGCCTCAGGGCCTGGATGATAAGATGGAAATGCAGCCTCCAAAAGCAGAGCAGTTCCTGCCTCCCAGAGCCTCAGTGTTGCAAGCTGGGGCGGAAGAGATAACTGGATCCAGGATCCCCAGGGCGTGGGAAGGAGAGAGGAGGCTCTGTTCTGAGATGAGGAGGTCAGACCGGAGCTAAACTGTACTTGTGGTTCATCTGTTGGTAAGCCAGCCTCATGTGTTCCATCCCTTTGAGGACTTCCCAGCTAAGCTCTCACCTTCTTTAGGCCCTGCCTACTCCACCCTGCCCGTCGATCACACCCATCCCAAAGTCCCTGAGACCTCCCTTTGGAACCACACAGCCACCTGGTAGCACATCAACAATGGACAGGAATGACCTGCCCCTTTCTTGCCCTCTCAGTCAGCACTGACACCACCCATTGAGCAGAGTAGAAGGCTAAACAGATGAAGATGGACCAGAGAGGAGGGACCCTGGCATGGCCCACCCACCAGGCAAATGGAGCACACCTGCTACCCTCATTAAATCAGCCAGCCCGAAGGAAGGCCCAGCCACGGTCCAGGAAGTTACGAGCCCGGCGGGGAGCCGCCCCCACCCCACTGGTGTCCTGTCTTCCTGGGAGGACTGAGCAGACCACAGCAGCCCCATGCGGACTTTAGGCTCCCCAGGCAACAAGCAAACTTAGGTTGCAGGGAACAGTTTACTGCCTGAATACAGAGGCAAGAGGCTTTTCCCTCTCTTTCTATAATTCCAACCTCCCCTGCCTAATCAAAACCAGCGGCTGTGTTTGCGGCATTAATTTGCTTTTGGCTGCAGAGAGCAGAAGGAGAAGAGAAGGTGAATCTAACTCTCACCCTGTGAGGACCCCTACGGTAAGAAGCTGAAACATGCTCAGAAAGGCGATGCTTCTATCCAGAGTGAAGGGAGGCATGGACACGTGGGTGGCCAGAACCGATGGCGGAGGATCCATGGTACCCACGGACTGTCTGATGAAGGCAACAAGCAGGGTCCAGGATATGTAAGTGGAGAAATTCAGAACACCTGTCCCTAGGGCATTTGAGCAAAACACATAGGGTCAGATACCTGCATACACTTGGTTACCTGCCTCAGAGGCAGCTTGAGTCACACAAGGAAATCTCAGAACAAAGACCAGTACCTTGTAACAGAGAGATTCCCCCCGCCCCGCCCCAAATAGTTTGCATTATTTCATTAGAATAAGGTTTATAAATCTTTCCAAGGGAGTTCTGGGCACCTCGGAGTAGCAATGAAAACCATGGGCCCCCTCTCCCATAAAATGCACCCACAGCATCACTGTCATTGTTGGCCAGTTCATGGACCTCCTGAAGTCCTAGGCCAAGAAGGCTCATCTTAGCATCCCCAGAAGGAAGAGAGGGTAAGGTTTCGTATCCCCTTTTTACAGACGTGGAAACTGATACATAAGTTCCTGGGGCAACACGGTTACTTGAAGACACAGTGGGATAAAAATTTGCTCTCCCAAATCTGGGCCATTTCCTTATAGTTTGCCTGAGGCTTCAGGGCAAACTCGGAAATTAAATCGTGCCTGCCTCAGTTCATCAAGTCTCCTGTGGCCTATGAGGGCCAGGGCCAGGGTTCGAGCCTTCTCTGCAGACTCCTGGCCTAACCCTCTGCTGTCCTGGCTCCCTGCTTCTTCCCCTGGTCCCTAGTCACACATAGATGTATGGCCTCCTGACTGCTCCCTGCCATCCAGCCTTCTCGGGGGTACAATGACCAGATGATGGACCCCAGAGATGGGGAGTGGTACCCTCTCTTGATTGGATGACTTGAAAGACCACAGAAAAATCCCACACCCAGGCCCAGTTCCACTGGGGTCTCAGGACCGAACTGCCTCTGCCCAGTCCTGCTCCCACCACACACAGCACAGAGCTCTGGGACACCGATGGCGGCTTCCTGTCTCTCAGGAAGCACTGCTTGCACCTCAAGAGAAGTAAGCACATGGAGGTGAGATGAGAGGAGAGGGGCAGGAGGGAGGAGAGAAACAGAGGAGGAGGAGAAAGCAGAGAAGGTGAGGAGGAAGGAGGGGGGAACGTGGAGGGAGAGACTGAAGGATGTGAGATGCAGAGGGTAAAGGAAGGAAAGGGAGGAGATAGTAAACCTGAAGGCCAGTCATTTGGGGACCATGGAAGGCCCCCCACTCACTTCCAGAATGAAAAGAGAGTGATTTTTGGAAAAAATCTCCTTTGCTTTCAAGACCAGCCTTCCAGGTGGCACCCAGAGCCTTCCCCAACCCCTTCCTATGCTCTAGCTAGCCCCAAAGCTCCACAGCACAGGTTTCAATCAGGTGTTTCTGCATGACATCCAGCCCACTCCCCAGTGTCAGATGCCCCCCTTTAAATCTCTCAGACACCAATAGCAGGAACATGTTCCACAGACATAACTGTCCCCAAGCAGAGAGCCCAGCACTGCCCCACTGGCTCGAGAGGCAGGACCCCCACCCTCTAGTCCACCCTTGGCCCAGCCAGGTCCAGGGACCCTGGTGGAGGTTACTCAGCATTTCCCTCGCTCCCCTTCCCAATCTTGCCACGGGGCCTGGAATTGGGGCCCTGCAGACTCCAAGGTCCCAGCTGGAGGTCACTGACTCCTAGAGAAGGAGCCAGAAAAAGGACGGTCTTAGCAGGTGGAAGTGATTCAAAAGGAAAAATAAAGAGAGAAATGGAGCAGTAATGACTCCCTGGACTACAGTTAGAATGGGAAGTGAGGGAGAAAGAGGAGCGAGGAGGGAGATGGGAAGACGGGGAGGAGGAGAAGGCTGAGGACAGGCCCTTGGGCTGCTCACTGGCCACCAGGCCAGTGTGTCCGTGTGCAGAGCCTGGGACGGAGGGAGGCAGGATTGAAGGGAAACCACTGCAGCATCATCTGGCTCCCCCATGGTCACAGCACCGGAGGGTCTGAGGTAAAGCGAGAGGCTGGCACGGGCCAGCGGGCGGACACTTACACACAGATGTCTTCTGGCTGCTATCTTTGCTGGGCATCAGCTTCACACCTCGAGACTTCAACTCGATTTGCTTCTTGACTAGAGAGGAAGCAAGAGGGAAAAACGTTTAAGTTATTGTCTGTGATTAGGGATGGGGCCCTCTGGGTTGATCCCTCTCTTGGCTTGGGACTTTCCATGCTGGGTTAATGCCAGAAGCCCCTCTAGGCAAGGATACACCAAGGGTAGCATTCAAGTGCAGCAGGCGCCCAGACCTGAAGCAAGAGCTGCTATCCAGGCTGGTCCTCTGGGCCAGGCAGACCAGGTGACCTCCTGTGCACCTGGGAAGCCCTGCCTGTCGGCTTCCCTGCAGATTCAGCCCTGCCCATGCCCCAAACCCGCCCTGACCTGGTGTGTTAGACTGGATAATGGCACCAAATTGTCACCCTCCTCTGAATCCACACCCTTTGCAAGGTGACTGTGTCCTCCTTGACTTTGGGTTTGGGCAGTGGAATTTTGGAGGCCTTGACATGTCCAAAGGCTTGAAAAGTGCCTATCAGATCAGTCTTGCCCCCTGGCATCACTGGGAGGAGAAAGACATGGCTGGTCCCAGGAGGACAAGGGACCTGTGGAGCCAATCAATACAGCCTACTCCCGCCGACCTATTGTGGGCAGGAGAAGCTAGGTCCTGGAGGCCTTTAGGGGGTGGTGCCTGGCTCAGGTGCTGGCCTGATGGATTAAACTGGGTTTTGATCCAATCACCGAGTCCAGTCTACAGGTTTTTAGGACTTTGCCAAATAACACAGCCAAGGCACCTGAGCCAGAACTCAATTCCAAAGACCACTCTTCTACATAAATCCACCATCTTGGGTGTGACTACCCCAGCTCCCCAGTGCACTCTGCTGGCCTCCAAGGGCTTCGTCCTGTCTCTGGTTAGGTGGCTCGCGGGTATCTATCCAATCCCAGAGCCCCGTGGCATCTCACAGCTGGCCTCTGCAGGCTGACTCAGCCCCACTCAGGCACCCAGCCGTGGCAGCAGTATCTGTGACCAGGCACTTCCTAGGTGCCACACCCTGGGCTAAGTGCCTTACCAGTTCTTTATTAACATCAGTGTCCTTGACTCCTTTCTTTCCTTCCACCCATACCGCTGCATCAGCAAACCTTTCCGAATCTATCCAAATGCAATTCCATGTCTATCATGCTGACGCAACCCTGCACCACTTCTCTCCCTGTTGCCATGGCCTCCCATCTTCCCTCCTGCCCCTGTTACAATCTGTTCTCAACACAAGAGCCAAAGGGATCCTTTAAAACATAAGTGCGACCATATTACATCTCTGCTCAGAACTCATCAGCGGCAACCCTTGTCTCTTAGAGGGAAAGCTGAAGCCTTTAAAATGGCCCGCACAGACCTATCTGCCCTCCCCACTACCTCAATCACTCTCCTCCAGCCACGGGCCTCCCTGTTGTTCCTATAATATGCCAGGCATGTTTCTGCTCCCACTGGCCAGTTCCCTAGAAGGCTCTCCCCCAGAAATCTTTATGATTCTCTCCTTTTTCCCCTTGAAGTATTCACGTAAACACCAGTTCCTCATGGAGGCCTTCTCACACTGCTCCATTTAAAACTACACCTCCAACCCCAACTCTCCCTCCCATTCCCTACTTTATCTCCCAAACTTTCTCTCACACACTATGTCATTTACTTAGCGAGTCTGGTCACCCCACATTGCAATGTACGCTCCACAAAGGCAGGGGTTTTCGGCTGTTGTGTTCACTGCTGTAACGTCAATGCCCAGAATAGTGCCTGGCACACAGTGGGCACTCAATACTCATTTCATTTGGTCCTTATACACTCCACCACCTTCACCCGTAGTTATTATACCTACTTAACAGATAATAAAATCAGGTCCCAGCGGTTAAAGTGATTTGCCCTAGGTCAGCAGTTCTCAACCTGTGGGTCGAGACCCCTTTGGCGGTCGAACGACCCTTTCACAGGGGTCGCCTAAGACCATCCTGCATTATCAGATATTTACATTACGATTCATAACAGTAGCAACATTACAGTTATGAAGTAGCAACGAAAATAATTTTATGGTTGGGTCACAACATGAGGAACTGTATTTAAAGGGCCAGAAGGTTGAGAACCACTACAGTATAAATGGAATAATGTGAACCAGTCATATAGGTTTGGCCATTTCCAACTGGATTACATAGAACAATGATAGGAATAAACAGGACCTGGCTTTCTGACATGGAGATAGCATCGGCTGTGCTCTCTGCCGAACCTCAGCATCTTCTCTTGCGACCTGCCCCCACAGCAATCCCAGGGGCACTGTCCACCTTCTCCAGCATCTGCCCCTCCCAGCTCAGGCCCTGGAAACTCAGGTAGTTGCTCTGCACTTGTGGTGACGTGCCAATCCTGAAACTAAAGCCCACAGTGACCAGGTGTGCCAGGGGTCCACCGCCCAGCACCCCTACCCCACCCTGCTCTGCCTGCATCAAAAAGCTCCCCAAGGATTTGCCGCTGCCAAGTTGCTGTCGAAGCTGAACACCTGACAGAATTCAGTAACTACCACAGAGCCCCTGCTTTCTAATGTGCACTCAGACCCTTTTATAAATGTGCATTACTCTCCAAGTGTATCCAGCAGGAAAATTTCCAATGAACACCAACATGGACCATTATTAAACAGAGGGTGTCGGTAGGGGAGCATGCATTATTCAAGCCTAGCTAATAGAGTGCGGCAGGGAAAATTCCTCTGATTTGATCATCCCAAGAGAACGAGAGTGGTCCCAGCACTGCAAGACCAGTGGAGCTCTTCTCCCTGAGGCCCAGCATTGGGGTAGGGGTGTGGGGGGTTCTCTTCTCCCTGAGGCCCAGCATTGGGGTAGGGGTGGGGGGTTCTCTTCTCCCTGAGGCCCGGCATTAGGGTAGGGGTGTGTGGGGGGTTCTCTTCTCCCTAAGGCCAGGCATTGGGGTAGGGGTGGGGGGTTCTCTTCTCCCTGAGGCCCAGCATTGGGGTAGGGGTGTGGGGGGTTCTCTTCTCCCTGAGGCTCAGCATTGGGGTAGGGGTGTGTGGGGTTCTCTTCTCCCTGAGGCCCGGCATTGGGGTAGGGGTGTGTGTGGGGGGGTTCTCTTCTCCCTGAGGCCCAGCATTGGGGTAGGGGTGTGGGGGGTTCTCTTCTCCCTGAGGCTCAGCATTGGGGTAGGGGTGTGTGGGGTTCTCTTCTCCCTGAGGCCCGGCATTGGGGTAGGGGTGTGTGGGGGTTCTCTTCTCCCTGAGGCCAGGCATTGGGGTAGGGGTGTGGGGGGGGTTCTCTTCTCCCTGAGGCCCAGCATTGGGGTAGGGGTGTGGGGGGGGTTCTCTTCTCCCTGAGGCCCAGCATTGGGGTAGGGGTAGGGGGTTCTCTTCTCCCTGAGGCCCGGCATTGGGGTAGGGGTGTGGGGGGGTTCTCTTCTCCCTGAGGCCAGGCATTGGGGTAGGGGTGTGGGGGGGTCTCTTCTTCCTGAAGCCCAGTATTGGGGTAGGGGTGTGGGGTTCTCTTCTCCCTGAGGCCCAGCATTGGGGTAGGGGTGTGGGGCAGGTCTCTGTCACCCAGTGCGGCCCATATGAGGCCAGGTCTGTGGAGATGACTGGGCACCTAGCCAAGAAGGAGGAGGGGAGTCAGTCTTCCCAGTTCTCTTGTTTCCAGTTGTCCTGCACACTTGGGAAGGGGGGTGGGGAAAGGGCCAGTGCACCATGGATGCCATTCCCGGGGCAAATCCTGCATGGGGTTTCCTTGAAGTTGCTGGAGGGGAACCGGGAGGGGCAGGAGGACATGAGGGGGTGTCATGTCCACAGAGCACACGGCGCACTGTGTACATGTGTCTGTCAGTGCTCACATACACCATGCAACTCACACTCACACATGCTCTCGTGCTGAATGTGAACAGTCAGGGTTCCCAGGCGAGGAGTGCGGGCTTTAACTGGTTGATGGAAATCTTACTAGGTGCATTCATCTCCTGCGAATGATAATGCCTACAGGAGCCTGCCAGGCTGCTCCATTCATCCTTTATATTCTGGTTAATTACAAGACATTTCCCCGCTGCTGTAAAGGTTAGCGGGACACATGGTACACATTTAGCTAGAAGAATCTGGCAATACAAATGCCTCTCCAGCCTCCAGCATGAGTTATTGGGCTGAGCTAGCCAGAGACAGGACCTGTGAGTAGAGTGGAGAGGGAGGTCTGACCTCTCTCCAAGGCTCTGGGAATCTCGGGTGGTGGAACCTGCAGTTTCTGCTCTTCCCAATGGATTCAGACTTCCCTCCACAGGGCGATCATGCCCTAATCTTGATCATCCCCTTCCCCACCACTGGGCTCTCCTGCTGGCTGGAGCATCCCCTCATCGCCTCCCTGCGCCCCCCCTTCCCCACACACACACCTCCTCCCTCACCAAATCCAATTCATTCAACCTTAAGAAAGTTTCCAATGTGTACCTTCTTTCCATGTTCTAAGCCACTCCTGCCCTAAACTCATCATTTCCGCTTGATTTTGTTCACCGATTCAGTCTCTTCTAGCCCATCTTTAAAAACGTTGCAGAGCGTGATCTTTTAAAAACTGAAATCTGATCTCCCCTTTGACAATGTGCATGTGCCTCCTGCACTCTGTCCCTGTCACAGAGGCCTGCCTCGCCGCCTGGCAGCAGCCTGCAGGAATACTTTCATTACTCACAGTCCTTCTAGCACACTGGCTCCTCATCTCAGTCAGATTTATGCCACGGATATAAAATTCAGTGCGGATGCCTAAGACCTACTGCTTCCAGCTTCAGACCTTCCAGCAGACACCCACGTCCTTGGCGTGGAGAAGAGCAGTGGGGAGGACAGGGGTTTCGAAGCACAGCTGGGAAGCAACCAAAGGTGAGGTGTCTGTTGCCAGGTCAGATGCCTTACAGAATAAATATAAAACCATCACACCAGATTTGACCAGGATGCTGCCAACACATAAATGAAGAGGCTGTGGTGGCACCACCCTGCTACGCACTGGAATGTTCAGTGGCCAGGGAAGGCTTCAGGCTGAGCAAAGGTGTTCACCAGGGGAAACCAGAAAGGTGTGATGTTGCATGTTGA